GTTGCTTTAGGACCAGATGTGTTCTATGAGTGAAAAACGTTTCGACATTGCCTGATCCTCAGGAAATTTTCAACGATTTTTATTAGAACGTTGCTTGCATTTTGTGCTGTGCTCATGCCAGGGGCAGTTTACAAGTTTTTTCACAGTTATTTACAGTTATTTTCTCAGAAACCACTCAAATTAGGGACTGACTTTTGAATTAAGTTTGTAGCCGTTTTATAATTGACAAAATGTAGATTTCCAGTCATTGAATGTCGTTGAATTTTGTAGTTGCTTATCCTGGCGTAAGTTTGGTATTTATTTTGGCGGGGCAAAGTGCATTCCATTTGTGGAAAAAATTTCGATTTTCAGCCATCTTCAGACAATTTTTGAGAAGCTTCCGAATGCGCTTTTAATTGTTCCGATTTTGCTCCCCTAAAAAACATTACAATAACTGCCACTTTGTTTACATTTTATTCATGCACATCCATAGATGGAAGTACTAGTTAATTTCTCAAACAAACATTTATTACAAATACATATTTAACAAATTAATCATTTTTATAAATGTTTTGTTGAAATTAATATATTAGATAAAAGCGGTTTTTTAAATACCAATTTAAAAAACCAAACAGGGCTGAAAGCCAAAAATGTATTTGAAAATGGTATCAGTAGACATTGATTTTTCCATTATGCGTTGATCTGTTTCCCGTTTTTTTGATTAAATGCATCCAGCCTTCGTTAAAAGGCATTTATTTACAACGTCCTTAACATGCAAACGCTCTTTGGGGTGGTGTGATTAAGTCGCTTGGAAAATATTCATCTTTGCTTTTAGGGATTTAATGAGCTTAGTGCAATGGAAATATACCGAGGAATTAAGTGAAGTTTTCTTAATTGCTTCATCCTATCCGGAATATTTAACGAAGCGCCCAAACCCATTCCATATTAATTCTTTCAGTTACCACCCTCTAACAATATTACAAATACACCATATAAAGCAAAACCGTGTATCCTGACCCCATCCCCTTTCGAGCAACCTCATCCCCCGCACATATCGGCAATTAAAAAAGCGCTCACGTGCACACACATTAGTATACAAATTAAACGTGATAAATTCGGGCATTTTTCAAAGGGCTTGAACGGCCAGAGGTTCAGCTTTCCCTATATTCTTAATTATCCCTTGGAAACCTTTTTTCTGCATATGTGCTGGAAATGGAGAAATGGACTTGAATATCAATTTTTAGGTAGTATGCCGTAAGACTCGCTAATCCTTCATGTGAGACATTCGACGTAAATGTATGACAAAAACAGATTATATCACTACGTTCCTGAAGTGTAGCTGAAGAGGATACACACACACAGTGTGCAATGAAAATAATCAAGATATTGATGGAGCTGGAAGAAATTTAATATTGCAGTAACAATTTCCAGCCAAGTCAATTAGAGAGCAGAATATGTAAAACGGAACAATAAGAAAACTAAACAAAAACACTATCTAGGGTGAGCACCGTCACAAACTTATCCCTTTGAATATGCATAACGGAATCCGGCAAGTCGAAACTGTTCAAGTTCGGTGTAGGGCTTAACTAAAGAGCCATTATTAGGATTATTATATTGTTTTAATGGGCGAAAAGAATCGTGGCCGCGGGTATTTGCCACTGGATTTAAACGCTGGCTTTATATCTACAGTCCAAAGTTATGTCTTGTCTTAATGGCCATTTCTGGAACTCCTGTTTTGCATGTTTGTACGTAGATTTTCATAAATAAGTCGAAACGCTTATAGCGCTAAGATATCCCAGTTCGACTTTTGTTCCATATTAAGTTCGAAATTTACACTGTAATGCGGTGGAAACGAAACAATCAGGCTCAGGACATAAAGAAATTATTTACATTTGTTTGCCTTGCATAGAAGTTACAATGAATATAGCGACTATTATTAAAAGTTTTAATTTTTTTGATAGTTTATTTTTAGTAACACCGAGAAAGTGACTTTTTTAGAACGAATCAGAGTTCAAGAAGCGAGACCATTTTTAACAAAGTCCTTACGGAAGGTAAAACCAATAATTCAAATAATTAAAAGAGATAATATACAAAAATACTGTGATAATGTTGCTTTAAACAATTAATTGAAACACGATGACTATAGCAGCGCAAAAAATAATTCAAGTGGCATAATTGAAGAAAAAACACAAAACGGCAGTAACTTGGATAATGAGATGGCTGAAAGTGAATACAGTTTGGAAAGAAACTACGTTAGATGAAAGAGGTGAAAACGATGGAAATTACAACTATGAGAAAGAAGGATAATTTTGCACAACCCCTTATATCGATTTTCTCTTCTCTCTATCGAAAATTATCTATGAAGAGCTTCAAACTGCGCTCTAGATCGTGAAACTCGGACCAAGAGCAGAAAAGTTATTGTTGCAAGACCAAAAGTTGATTTTTTCAGATCACCCTGTAAATAGAAGTGATGGCCAAAAAAATCAAAAACCGTTCTGAGATGTTTGGTTTATCTCTAAACTTATGGTATCGGGAACCAAAAAATACACTTTTTCGTGCAACTAGAAGCATGCCAAACTTTGAAAAATTTTGCAATTTTTTATTTGCAACCCTGTAGAAAATTGATCTGAAATGCGTAGCTTTTATTAAAACACTTGACAAAAAAACAAATGCTTGATGCGGCTTGATAACGCTTAAAACAGAAAGCGAATCGCTCTAAGCGATCAGGATTTATCCACTACCAAAGTTGAGACAAATTTGGCTGTGTAACGCTTATTTTGTCGTGCTGTTTATTTGGGAAGTAAAGGCGAAAAGGAAAAATAAATTTAGTTAAAAAATACAGGAAGGAAAAAATATCATAAATCTCTTGTAGATTATTTTCACACCAAACTTTTTTTGCAAAATTTAGCATTACTTTCAAATTGCCAGCTAAAGCTTGAGCTTTGAAACAGTAAAATTACGTTCTTCACATGCAGTTCTCAAAACATATTCTTTGCACGTACAAAATTCGCCGCTGGTTGTAAACTCGCCAAAACTTATTAATCCTGGACAAACCAGTTACCCGAATAAGTCCTAAAGTAACCTGTCAATTCTCGGTGGCTTATTCATAATGAACCTGAGGGAAAACAAGGGAAAATACCGAAAACCTCCCCGACTGTGTATCTTATAATCAACACCTGATTATTTATTCATTAATTAATCTATCTATATAGCGCCCTGTATTACCTGAGTTTACCGAAGTTCACCCTCCGATTCGCACCTCCAACGTTCGGTTCACTTTGTCAATTTATGTGTTGCGGCTTTTGGGATAACGCCTTAAAATACCGGTTTAATTTCGATAATAACTTGCCGGTTTACACTTAATTTCGTGAAAAAATTAAACAATTCGCCGATGTCAACTTTTTTCTAATGAGAAATTTCCGGTTCAATCCTAATGCAATCCATACAAACTTACACCCAATTTGATGTGTCGCTATTACGGGCTATGCAGTGTGTTCAGAAAAGAGCTAAAATTCCAGCTGATATATTTTTTTCTAAATATTTCCTGATGTTTGGACGAAAGTTATAAAATTAATTGTTTAACGGTTTAGGAAATATTGTTAAATAAAAAAACACAAACACAATTCACTGTGTCTGAATTAACATTTTCTTTTCGAAATACGTCCGAACGTTTGGAGTAACGTGAGAAAGTTTGGGGTTTAGCTGTTTACAACATATTGCGAAAGAAGCATCTTCGGAGTTCTTCCTGCCTAAAGTCCTCCTTTAATGTATGTTTAGAGAAACTTTTTATATAATTTTAAAATCGAGAATCGTCTTAGAAAATATTTCATATACATTTACAACAACAACCCTCCAAACACCCTGGATATTTATAATAAATAATTCTTAGTGTCGTTGCTTTTCTGACGCAAACCTTCAGACAATACTCAGTGCACTAAAAAAAGCTGCGTTTTCCATAAGAGAATCATAAATGCATCTTCATACCCTACCAGAAATATTAAGTACAAATAAATCTGTTTCCAATTATGTACAAGTTGTTTTTGCGATCAAACGCAATTCATATGATGAAGATGCGTTAAGAGAATTTACGTTTAAATTTGAACTGCCCCTGGAAAACTGTTCAATATTTGTGCCCAAATCATTATTGTTTCAGAATTTTCCACTGTGCCACAATAAAAATGCTCCCTGTCCTTAAAATAAGAGTTGAAATGTTAATGGTAAAGTTTGAACACGGCATAGCGATAAATAAAAGTTAGTTTTCCTCTCGCGACAGTGCGGACGACACCTTGATTTAATCTTCTTTAATTAAATCACTCTTAATAATCCTTAAAAGTTGACTTAGCAGAAGGGTTTATGGGAAAAATACATAAATAATTTAACCGTAATGGTTTATAAATTAGTAGCACGGTTTTACTCTGACATCGACTACATATTTGCTTTAATGTTACTCTCATTGGAAATAAATTCAGTTTTTATCTATATGCTCAACAATTCAGTCATTTTGGGACTGAATTTGCGTAATAACATGCAGCCTTTCGTTCTAAATAGATCAATCTCCAGATGGACTAACCAATATGATCAGATGAAATTTTAGCAAAAACACAAATCTCAGATTATACAATTTTAAAAGTAAAACATTCGGAAGTGACCAGAAAACATCATCAAAAAAAACCGAGCAATGAGATCGGTATCTGATGATTTACATCGCGACCCTTGCCACAACTCACAAATACAAATTTAATGGCGTTTTCTCGTAATATCGGAGCGGACACAACCCATTTTCCATAACCATTAGACGAAGAACAAATACAATAAATATCAGAAAAAACGCGATAAAATTCCGATTTTCGACGGGCTGCTCAAACACGAGCTCGGTTAATTTTTAATTTAAAATGGTCGCCGAATTTTTATCGGCAAAGACCAAACGAGAGTGGCCTGGATTTGTTACGGACGTTCGGTTCTATTTGGTGAATATTTTAGGGTGAATCGGAAATGTCCGCTGTGGTCCAAAGCATGCTTACCTGCAATAGATTAGCTCCTTGTTGCTTTCGAAGGCTCCATAAGGAGGACACCTGGGAGGCAACTGCACCACTAGAACACCATTTGGTCCAGCCAAGGCTAATAATGTCCCACTTTCATTGACCGTTAGTGAATCGGGGGAGAATAGAGGTGGATGAAGCGTCAGCAATTTCTGCAAATTAAAAAACTCAACGTGAATGGCAAAAAAATCCGCTGAGGACTTGACTAATAAGTAAAATGCAGAATTATCCAATCAATATTCTTTACACTCTCCGTCCGGATGAAAATCGCTTCGACTTCCTCAAGTTCCCACGAAAAAGAGGGGCGAGTGTTTTTTTCCACTTAAGAAATGGGTCAGTTTCGGGAAGGGTTGAGGTCACGAGTTCCCCGGGGTGCGAATGACCATCGCTTAGAAGGGAGCAAGTTTCAACAGGTATAGTGGCGCGTGCCGCATCTGTCGAAGGGTTATCGAAAAGGGTGAAATAATGGATAGTTTGAGCCGGTTTGAGGGCTGAGAAAGCATGCGGTTATAAACTATGGAACCGAAGAGATTGAATTTAAACCAAAATGTCATGTAGTGGTTTCGAACTGCTGGAAAAGTGAAATGCACTGACATTTTCATGTTTCCGATAAACCTATGCGGAATGATGCAATAAAACCACGTATCGTTAAAGATCTTTTATTTTTGGTATTTTTGGATCGGTGAATCGGCTGACATTTGCCGATTATATTAGGCGGAATGGATTTTCATATAAAAATGGCTTTGTGCTGATTAATCTGAACAGTGGCAGTGACTAGACTTTACCCAGCTTGGATGAAATAAACTTAAAATCTGTTTAAGTTTCTCCTTTAATCCTCTTAAATTCCATTGCACTAAGCTCATTAAAAACAAAGATGAATATAAGCAACCACAAAATTCAAACGCAAATTTAAAATAGCCTGAAGATGCCTGGAAATCGACATTTTGTCAATTATAAAACTGCTACAAAATTCATACAAAAGTCAGTCCTTAACTTGAGTGGTTTCTGAAGAAATAACTGTAAGTAACTGTGAAAAAACTTGTAAACTGCGCCCAGCATGAGTACAGCACAAAATGCAAGCAACGTTCTAACCAAATTCATTTAAAATTCCCTGAGGATCAGGCAATGTCAAAACGTTTTTCACTCATAGAATTTGCGAGAAAATAGATACCAAATTTGAAAAAAAATGGGAAATAGACTGAAAATAGAAACTTGTGCCACTTATAAAACGGAGTATTTCCTACAAAATTGACCGAAAACTGAATCCCAACCTTGACTGGGAATTTTTCTCAGGAAACAATTGAATAAACTGCGACTTGCATAGAAGAGAAGCGCAAAATTGAAGCAAATTTCTAAAAAAATTGATGACATTTTCTTGAGGCTTATTCAAAGTTGAAAATATTTTCCACTTACAGAACACACCTTGTCTTATCAAATTTATACAATGGTGAGTCTGTAGCTTCGCAAGTTCATCAGTTAATACATTTTTAACTACTGCCTCCTGAAATATCCGCAAAAACCAATTGCAACTAAAAAATTCTTGAATATTGCATTATGATGACTTATAATAAAAAAAAACTTTTGGCACTTGTAGAACAAGCTTTGCCCTCCCAAATTTATACAAAAGCGACTTTCTCAGTTCTTTAGTTTCTGTCGTAAACGCAATTTTACAAAATTATCACAAATGTCCTAAGTGTGATTGAAAATTGGAATTTTGTTCACCCACAGAAGGAATTTTGCCTACAAAATGCATCCATAGTTGACGTTCTCACTTCACAAGATACAGATTTTGAAAAATTCTTGAAAATTGCTTGATTATGACTGACAATTCAAACGTTTTTCACTTATAGAGCAGACTCTGCCCTACAAATGTGATGCAAACAATATTTTTTTAATTTGCAAGTTTTTGTGTAAACAAATGTGAAACTACGACTTGATTAAATATCCGCAAAAGCCTCTGCCAACTTAAAAATTCTTGAAAATGTCCGAATTATGAAAATAAAAAGTTTTGGTACCAGTAGAACAGTTTTGGCCCTACAAATTACACATAAATGCAACGTTTTTAGTTTGTTAGCTTTGGAACAAATAAATGCCAAACTTCAGCCTGCAAAAACCACCTCATCAATCAAATGCCAGTTTATAAAATTGGAAAAAATTGACTTTCTCAGTTCGCAGGTTGCAGAAGAAATTAATGCTAAAATCCGGCCTGCAAAAACCCTCTCGAAAACAAGACCCTATTTTAAAAAATTGCTGAGAATTATCTGATAATTAAGCTGAAAGTTGAAACGTTTCAACTTAAAGCAGACTTTGTTCTACAGACGTGATTCAAAAGTGATTTTCCAAATCTGCTATGCTTTCCAAAGCTCTTATGTAAATAAATGTGCCGATCTGCTTGAAAATCCGCAAAAACAAGTTACAATTTTAAAAAATTCTTGAACACTTTCTTATGATGACTGAAAATCAAAACTCATAGAACAGACATTTTTTAATAATAAAATACATACAAAATTTACCCTTTCACTTCGACTATTAGAATACTCGAATATTCGAACATTGGATTATTCGAGTATTCGAATATTCGTTTAGATATTCGACTATTCGAATAAACCACTAAACGAGTATTCGAATTTCAAATTTAAAAAAATTCCGAGCACTAATTTCTAAGTCTTCTATCGATATGTATTTTTCTGCAAGTTCTTTGGGCTTTTCTTAAAGTATTTATACGGAAAAGAACGGCCATTCTTGCATTTATCTGACAATGGAAAACTGTTGAATTCAATAATGTGGCATAAAACTTATGCTTGATGGTAATTAATCGGCTTGATGTACTTTGATAAATTTGAATCCATTTTTTATTCATTCGCCATAATTATTTCCTTTCATATTAATCACCGGAGGCATTAGGGGCTCATTTTACGCGATGGAAAAATCTAAGAAAACCGAACTTATTTATTGCAAAAATTGATAAATATCCCAATTAAGGGAAAAACCCGTGCTCCTTTTAATATCGGTGCATAAAAAATAGCGATTTAATCCCCTTTATAGCGAAAAATTGCTAATTTAAATCGAACGAACCGACTCGCGACCGAGGAAACGCAGTATAAATTATCGAAATTATTATATTAAAAAATCCATCCAAGAAAATTTAACTGTACGCGCCCGCAAGCCATTTTTCGCATTAAAAAAACCGTTCGAAAGATTAAAGTAGGACCTGCTCTGGTAATTGCCGATTATAGATAGTATGCGAAGAAATTCGCTGCTGTATTTCGAGAATTCGCAAATGCTTCGGGACATGCCACTGGGAAGCATTTAAGAAATATGAGCTAAATGGCATTTTCAAAATTACAAACTGGTGACTGCATTACCGAGTAATAATTCACTGCGGAGCACAATGGAAAACATTAAAATTAGCCATAACTCCGCTTAGCAGGACGCGACGACGATAATCTTGAGATATTCCTGAATGGGATAACTTCCAGATAACCATCCTGATGCGAAAATTCGAATAGAACTCTAGTAATAATTGCTTCCTGCATGTCACCTCAAGATTTCAACAAAAGACGGCAGGACGGGAATTGAGGCGATATTTCATTTCTGCTGAAAACCCGAGCGGGCTAATAGAGCGACGTTTGCAAATCCGTATCCTGAGGAAGTCCTTCTTCGAGCTAATGTCTACAGTTATAGTTCACGGATCGTGGCTATGGTTCCACGATGGAACTTCGAGTTCTGGGAGTTTCAATGGACAATGCCGTTGAAGGTTCTAAATTGCCTAAATGTTTGAGTCAGGAGAGTCGTAAACAAACTTGTTTTCAAGCCAGATACATTCTCGATCGACAAAAAGATTGTTGAATGTTCATACCCAATTTTCGCAAAATTGAACCATCGATTTTTTGCTCAATTAAACACCAAAATCATTCTATTTCAACTTTAATTGCTCCAAAAAAAGTTCCTAATAGTTTATCTACATTATTGTACACAATTTTCAAAGCATTCAAAATTTAACTCCCAATTTGACTTCAGCGCCAGCTGTTTTTAAATTCTTCCTAAGCTATTTTCGATTGAATTTCATGCAGGTCTCTCTGCTACTTTAAAGCTTTCAGATTTTTTTGCTTTGCCTTGCACTGTTTGACAGGAAATTTCGTTTAAACTTCATGATCTTGATATCACAGCCTATATTTTGTGCGTGTTGATTTCTTCCGCATATCTGAACGGCACTGAAAATTAAATAACCCATTCATCAAGTGAAACATCACTTGGGAAACGTTGAAAGTTTTCACACAAAAGGCGAATTTTTAACGTGTTTTTCTCTAACAAAGAGCAAATTTTGTTATATTACTCAAAAACGAACAAGATATTCCATCGTTTCAAATATGACCACTTTTTCGCTTATACCTTTGGGACAAATTGAGCTATCGCGCCCATTTATTCACCACTAAATTGCCATTAGAAATATTTGCAGTTTTCACACAAAAAGACAAATTTCAAGGTGTGTTTTTTATTTACGCGGTTTGAGAAAAATTGGTTTATCCGCTAAGAAATTGCGCCGGTTTTTTGGTCATATTTCACGAACTATTAGAGAAAAAGCTTTCGTCTTTGCACGACTCGATGAGGTAAAAAAAATCAGTCGCCATAGGAAAGTGCAGTTAGTAAATAGTGACAGTTTCCCCACAAAAAGAATCGGCTATCAGCGTTCCAAACATAACGCCACTTTTTTGCAACAAACAAAATGAGAGAATTGGCATTTTTCGAACAAAAATCGAATGTCGAACCTCTTTCTTAGTTTAACGCGGTTGGAGGGTTTTTTGAAAAAATCCTTCATTGCAAAATGATAAATTTCATGCGAGGCCTGACTCTATATATAAAAAAAAATATATCAGTCGTTTAAAAACGCTTTAAGCCGAAAGCCGGCATCTTCCTGCATTTACTTCTTCTGCTGTTTTCAAGCTTCAAACATTTCAGTTTCAATCAAGCTTCCACAGTTGGAAACACATACATACTGGCACAAACTTGATGAAATTCCTTGATATTCATAAAATCCAAGAGCACCTGCACTTTTCCATAGACGACAATAAATAACACATTGGAACTCATCTTGATCACTCTTTGTCTATCCATGGGCCGATTTTCCGCTTGAAAAATCGTCAATTTACGTTCTGGCAAATGCCTTACAATTTTGCTGATTTATTTGTCTAAGGTTGCGCCCCGAACTGCATAGCAGGGACAATCAAGTCACGTTTCTCGTCTGCATTGGATAAAGTCAAAGACGATAACAGTTCACAGGTGGCCCTTTCAGTTTCCGTTAATTACTAATTAGGCGTTTCAGTCTGCAAAATGAACCCGCATGTAGTGCGCCGAGGTCCACTTATGCCTTTCTTACCTCTTGTATGTTAATAATAATGACATAATTAACAGTTCTGGGTAATAATGTGGCCACTTCTCGGCACACAAAGGTTCGGGTCCCAATTTTTCTCTTGTATGGCTCATTTGCAATGCGTGTTATATTTGAGTGCTGCACATTATTGAATTGAGTTTATGGTACAATTAAACGGGGCCTCAACAGCTGGGATAATCTAATTTTTGTCGAATATGAACCGCAAGTAGACGGCTTTCAGTGGCAGCAGAAATAAGATTCTTTTGAACTATGATACACATACAGATCCATAATTCGTCAGATGATGATGAGGGTTTTATTATAAAAAGAGGCGATTTCCTTCGGAGGGTTGGATTTCCTATAATTGAAACAATAACGGGAATTGAAGAGGCATTATACAAACCGCGGGGAAATCCCCCATTAATTCGAAATAAGAAAAACCGCTCCGCGCTTTCGAATCTGTGTTTGAACGGGCCAATTTGGAAAATCATTCAATTTTCCGGCCGAACGACGATTCCGACTATAAAAACTACAAACTGAAACGTCTTACCTCCCAGTGGCGTATCCCAGCCATTCACCACCAATAAGAAATGTTAGCTAATTTTATAGTCAAAATCATCATAAAACTTAAGTCTATTTTCTAAAGTCTGTTTGAGTCCAAATGGTTTTGTTGGGGAAATGATGTGCACTTTTGGTGCAAATTACTTATTTTGTCAATTTCACGATTGCTTAGTTCATTTGCATGAAACTCAATGTATGGCCTATTTTCCTAATAATCCATTTGTTCAGATTCAGAAGACAAAAATTGTACATTTTTGGAAGATACTCAAGTTTTGGCGATTTATTTTAACTCTGGCATAATTACCAAGTCCGGCTTGATTGCAAAATTAGACCATTTCAGTTGAAATGTACACCAAATTTGGTTTAATTTATCATAAAAAGAGAGTTTTAAAAACAATATACTATCATTTTAATCGAACTCAATTGAGTGAATCCAATTTTTCTCAAATGCAAATTTTACACTTTCTTCGTTAACAATCAAGTAAACTCTTTACTTTAATTGGCCATATTATAATGACGGAGCTCAAAATGCAAACTAAGACAATTTTCTAGTTTCTTTTTAAAACTATTGTTTAAATTCAATAGAGGCACTTTTGGGAAACATTTTTTAAATCATCAAATTTATCAGATTTTCTTAAACACTTTATTCATAAGAAAAAGTTGGTCTTTGCCAAGTGCTCAAAACTGGCGAGTTTTTCGTGCTTTTAGGTCGACGTGTAAAAAGATTCTTCCTGACGTTTCGTCAGTATGAGTTGCTTGCATCTTCAGAGGTGTTAAAGCCACGTATGGCAGTTTCATTTTAGCTATAATTGTTTCCCAATGTCCTGAAATACCACCAAAAGCTGAATTTGCCAGGATCTTTTGCATGTGAATGAATCTTTTATAATATACTACGTTCTTCATTGAGTGAAGAAACAAAAATTGAAAAAATAAAAACAAGTTGGCTTAAAAAAAACTCACATTGCAGCACTAAAGTACAGTTGCATAATTCGAACACTCTGTACAGTAAGAATATTTTGTTCCTAAAAGAATCAATGGTTTTGAAAACCTTAGAGAATGTTAATAAAGGACTAAGGAACATTTTTCCGTAAAAACGCCCTAACCAATATGAATAAAAATAAAATACATATTTTCGTTTTACGGTATTGAACTTCATGTTATTGTAGATTCTACGCCTGTGGCTCCATGGCGGAGTTGAAGCTAATTTTAATGTATTTAATGCAAAATATCGGCAACAGCGGCGCCCGTAAATCACCGTTTTTATGAGCCATTTGGGCCGAATATTAATCGGCTGCCAGAGAAACTGCGGAAAAATTCTTAATATGTCTTGAATGGGGATAATGCTCCGAATTTCCGTTTCAAACTTTTTATCGTCAAGCAACCGATATTTAATCATTATATTCCATTATTTTTATGATGGCTTTTATTAGGCGGAAGCAAAAAGCAGATTTTCCTTTGCCAAAGAAACAACTGAACATTTAGTAACTTTGAGGCACGAGTTTTCGCCAATATTAATCAAACAAACCCATTCGAACGCAACTCGACTCACACAATCAAAACAATCATTCAGCGTCGCGCAAACAAATCGAGTACTGCTTGAATCGAAAACACTTGAACTTAAAACCGAATCATTAACGGAACAATTGGAAATCGTAGAGAAACAATTAGAAATCGGCGAGAAACAATTGCAGCGCGACAAAGTGAAACAGCGTCGCGCAATCAGCCGGTAACAAATGAAAATCAACAATAATAATTTTGCGATGGCGTTTTCTTTAATTAAAATGGCGCTGCGAGAGAATTAAAACAGGTGAATAGATTGGAAGAGGTGGTGAACGGATTGTTTATATTAATAAACGCAGTTGGAAAGAAAACTTCCGTTTACGATTCTGTTGTGGAAGACACGCAGGAGAAAATAGAAGAGATGAGAACAACTACTTATCAATAATGGAAAGCTTCTGCAAAAAAATTCAAGAACAGAAGAAAAAACAACATTTCGTTCAGTCAAAAAATTTAAAGTTGCAATATTTTTCTCTATAATTCTTCGCGGTCTTGTACACAAATGGATCATCCTGTACAACGAACACACTAAATTATAAAAGTATTATTTCACTATTATGCCCACTTAACCGCATTGAGGCCGAATTACGTCAGAATATCAGTTTTCTCCGGGGAGGAGCTGAGAAAAATTGATAACATTTGACTTTCTCTATTGTATATCGCCAAATAAAGAAACCCGAACACAATAATATATTTTTCTTGGATTAAGCCGACCGCAGAAGACTTACGCTATTTCGGTCATTTACAATACATCAAGTCAACGATGTGCGACCTCTGGTGGAGTTGTTGTTTTGGAAAACTCTCTTGCTTTCATGCACTCAAAAATTTCCTTCATCTGCTGTTTAACAACATTCTGCATTACTACTGATCCAATTTTGAGTCGGTAAAACAATAATGAATTTTTGCACAATTACTAACTTTGTGACTATTAATTGGCTTTAAAAACTCTCGCTCTGTGAAGACGTTGCATTGGCTCACCCAATAAAGTCCTGCCTAGATATAAATTGACCACATCTATAAAGCCAGTATTTATTTATTTTTGCTGTTAATCCCCAGAGTCTGTGACATATCGTTTCTCCTTTGCTACTTAATTAAAGAATCCATTTAGGGTACCGGGCAAATGACCAATTTCGTCTTGAAATGGTCGAAAATATCTGCAATCCCTATCTGTAGCTGAGGCGTTTTCTACTATAAGCTTTAAACTTTGATATTGATAATTAATTAACGACGAATTAAACTATCTTCGATTTTGGACTTAGGCGCTCATGTGGCGGACTTTCACTCAATTTTTCTCTGCCTTTAGCTGGCTACAGACGCCGATAGCATATTTATACCGATCTGAACCGAAATGAAGACATATAGAAACAGGGGGTGGAATCCTAACCGAATAACATAGAAAAATTGAACGAATTCCGTCAGAAGCCTCGACGGTCATTTTTTAGAATTCTCCTTTGAGAATGCCCGAGATGAATGCGATGGCGTGCAGGAAACTGGATGGATTGATCGCGCGACGTAATGAAAATTGAGGCAATTTTTCATGGACAATGCAAAGACATGTTTAGAATTGTTGTGTGTTCGGGGGTTTTCAATTAAGTTAAGATATCGGAACATGCAATAGAAATAGGGAAGGAACTGGACTGGACCTTTGCAGGGTGGAAATCTATTAATCGAAAATACTTCTATCACTAAAGCTGTATGATTATTGATATTAGTGATGAGCTTCGGGAAAGTGACAAAAAATTTGAACAAAACATTTAAGGCTTTTGCAGACAATCATTTGCTTTGCAACAAAGAAATAATTAATTTTTTGTGATATAAAGCCGCGTTCAGACAAACAAACCGAGTCTCGTAACGAAAATGAGATTCCCGGAGCTATTTGCTGCTAAATCGTGGTTTAGGTATCAATATTTCATAACTCCACATGCAAAATTGTCGCTAAAGGCATAATAATTGTGTTTTTCGCAAAAGTTTGAACATCTTTTCTAACGTCGTCCATTGATTTAGGTTATCTTTCGGGAAATTCAACACAATGCGGTGTTGCCATGTATTTTTGAGTTGTAGTCATTTCGGTTAGTTTGAGTTTTGAGTTTGTTTGTTTGTGTTACCATGGTTGAAGTGATTTTTTTAATAAAACAAAAAACAAAAAGTAAAAATTAATAACCTGAAAAGGATCTAAATAATCTAAACCGACCCAAATTGAATGAATCTACATTCTAGGTATCCAACAATTTTCATTAACTTGAAACGCTTTGCGCAGTTTGCCAACACCGCTAGAAATTTAGCAAGAAAATGGTGATTTTCCTCAAACTTTGTGAGCGTTTTCTGGCTTAATTTACAGACCATTCAGAATTTTTTTCGATGAAACTGCTTAACTCTAAATGTCTTTAAAGTAAAACAAGAAAAAACAAAAAATTCGGAGAGACTCAAACGACAGGATCACCAGATTAATTGGATAATGCCAAATTGTGCAGCACAATTCTCGTTTATTTCTCATTTGAACGTGTTTAGTTAGTGTCTTCACTGTAGTCTTCACTTCACTGTAGTTTAGTGTCTTCACTTAAATTTTCCTTATTTTTCGTTTTTACTTTTAATCATTTTTTTC